TTTTTCTATGTTAAGGTTATTGGTACTTTTGAATGTATTACTTCTATGTGCCTGAATATTTTTTATTTAATTGTATATTTGTATTATTACTGTTGTTGCCTGCATGTTTACATTTCTCCTTTTAGCAGTGCATAGTTAGACATTTATGTTCGTAATTGTTTGCTTTTTAAATTGGAGTTAGGTCAGAAGCCGAAAAGTTACATTTTAAATTCTTTTAATTTCGATAACTAAGTTCTATTCCATTCCAACCCTTTCTTTTTGCTTTCATTTCATTCTACTCCCATTCAAAACAATCCCTTTCAACTTCATGCGGTTGAATGCAGCCCAGGTCGGTCTAGTCATGTCCTGTGCAGTTCAGTCTTCTCGGTCCATTTCAATTCAATCCTTCATCTTGGATATGATCTCTAATCCAGTCAAGCAGTCTTCCTTTCAATTTAACGTAAATAATTTCGATCGAATCTGGTCCAACATAGTTCAGTCCTATCCAGTCCTATCCAACCTAGTCCAGTAGAGTTCAATCAATCACGATCAACTCTTTTCAACTAAATCAAGTCTTATCTAATTCAGTCAAGTTTATTCCAGTCGTCTCTTGTCTAGTGCAGTGTAATCAGTTATAACATAGTCCAATCCAAACCAATTCAGTCCTAAACAGTCCCGTCCGCTGTAGTTCAGTACACTTCAGTCAATTCCACCCTGTTTCTCTCAAAACCACGTCTAATCCAGTTCAGTCAAGTCCAGTCGAGTTCTTTTGATTATAGTTCAGTACTGCCGAATCCAAACCAATCTAATCTAACACAGGCCAGTCCTATTTTGTCCTCTCCAAAGTAGTCCAGTACAACTCAGTCAAACCGGTCTACTCAATTTCAACTCAAACCAGTCTAATTTAGTTCAATTAATTTTAGTCTTTCCCATCCTCTCTCGTCTATTGAGGTCCAATCCAAAGCTACCTAGTCCTATCCAGTTCTATCCAATGTAGTCCAGTATGGTTCAGTCACATCAGACTAATCAATTGCGACTAAAACTAGGCTAATCCATTTCATCCAAGTCTATTTGTTGAGTTTTGTCCCGTTTAGCTCAGAGCGATACAATCCCAACTAATAAAATCCAAACCAGTACAGTTCCATTTAGTCGTGTCCAGTCAAGATCAGCTCAGTTCAGTCGAGTCCTTTCCCGTCTAGCTCAGTCCAATATAGTCCAATCCTATGTAATGTAGTCAAACACACTATTATACATTCTAGTCCAGCACAGTTCAATCAAGCCCGTCCAGTCCATTGTAATCACAGCCAGTTCTGATCCGTTTGTTCGCATCCCATCTAAGCTAATACGGCCCAGTCTTGTCCGAACCAGTTAACTTCTTTCTTGCCTAGTCCACAACAGTTCAAATATTTCACTTATATAAGTTAAAGAACGTCCAGTAAGTAAGTATGCCTCAGGCCAATCCTATCCAGTTAAATTCAGTAGAGTCTATTTAAACTCAAGCAAAGTCTAATGAATTGAGTCAAATCCAATGCACTCCATCTATGCCCGATAAATCCGCCGATTCAATCCAATCAAGTCCAATTTATTCCAGCTTAATCTAGCCCCACTACCCGAACCAGATCAAGTTAGCTCAAGTCAACCCACTCGAATACATTCCAATGCAATTTATTTCAATCCCACTCATTTAGATCCATTAACGGGCTTCATTTCGAGCATTTTTTTTTTTGTTTTATTCCTTAGGACGCTTTGCGTTCCATTTTCTCAACAGAAGTCTTACTCATTTTGTACCGCTTTCTCTCCATCTAGCCATTCATTTCGTGTCGTTCCATATAATTTGCTTTCACTATAATCCCTTCTATTCCAATTCCGTCGCGTTCCATTTCAGTATATTTTGTATCATTTCCGTTCATTTCATGTGAACTCGTCCAGTTCCGATCCAGTATTTCAAACAGCTTTCCGTTTTGCATAAAATGCACCAAGTTAGGTTTCATTGTCATATTTTTTTTTTAACTTTGACCTCCTCGGCTTCTGATCTTACGCCATCATATGTATGTTTATTTAAATTTAATTTTCTGTACCTACCATTAGCATTGTATATTTGAATATATCACTATCACGCTGCCAAAACTCATCACTATACTATCTCTCTTCCCCCATCTATGCTCTATCCATTCCATAGTCGTAGTGCCTGATATACCCGCCGATCCATGCAATCCATCGCCTTGCGGCTCAAATGCCATTTGCCGAAATCGCAATGGTGCTGGTTCATGTACTTGCATACAAGATTACTTTGGTGATCCGTATATAAACTGTCGCCCCGAATGTGTACAGAATAGTGATTGTGTGCGCACAAAATCCTGCGTGAATATGAAATGCGTCGATCCATGTATAGGCCTTTGTGGCATTAATGCCGAGTGTCGCGTTACGAATCATATACCTGTGTGTCAATGCATCTCCGGCTATACGGGCAATCCAATGCGTAGCTGCCACGAAAAACCGTCAAGTATGTTTTCGGCAAAACGTTTGCTAAATACAATCACGTCTAATAAAAATATCCAATCTTATCTTTCTCACACAATACTTAACTATGTAGATATGTACCTGCCTATACCGCGTGATCCTTGTCGTCCCTCCCCTTGCGGCTTGTATAGCACCTGTCGTGTTGTAAGCAATCGCGCCGTTTGCTCTTGTCTACCTAATTATTTGGGAAATCCGCCCAACTGCAAGCCAGAGTGCATGCTAAGCTCGGAATGCCCTTCGAATAGAGCTTGCATCAATATGCGTTGTCAGGATCCATGTCCGGGTACTTGTGGACAGAATGCACGTTGCCGCGTTACCAACCACTCGCCGATTTGTAGCTGTACGCATGGTTACACTGGTGATCCGTTTCAACAATGTGTGCCCGAAAGAAGTAGGTTACCGCGCACCCCGACCACCAAGTTGACGCATCAAAACTAACAGAAATTTCGTATGATTTTAGAACCACTTGATCAACCACGCATACCAGCGCAGAATCCTTGTGTACCCAGCCCTTGTGGCCCGAATTCGCAATGTCGCTCAGCTAGTTCAGGCGCAGTGTGCTCGTGTATTTCGAACTATATTGGCCGACCGCCGAATTGCCGACCGGAATGCACCATCAACTCGGAGTGTCCAGCGCGCATGGCTTGTATGAATGCACGTTGCGCCGATCCTTGTGTGGGATCGTGTGGCAACAATGCGCTCTGTCAAGTTAGTGCGCATGCACCGATTTGTATGTGTGAGCCGGGCTATACTGGCGATCCATTCTCTGGCTGCTACAAAGTCATTGAAAGTATGTTGAGATCACTTCATCCCGACTAAGTCGAAAAGCGCACTACTTACTGATATTTTACTTCCAATTTAAAAACTTTTGCAGTACCTGATGAGCCAATACAACCTTGTCGCCCCAGTCCCTGTGGCTTGAATGCTGTTTGCGAAGAGCGCGATCGTGCGGCTTCATGCAAATGCATACCCGAATACTTTGGCGACCCCTATGTTGAGTGTCGTCCGGAGTGTGTCATCAATTCGGATTGTCCGAAGACACGCGCCTGCGTCAACAACAAATGTGTCGATCCCTGTCCGGGTATGTGTGGGCGTAATGCCGAATGCGCGGTCTTTAACCATGCGCCGAACTGTGAGTGCTTTAACGGTTATACTGGAAATCCAATCATCGGTTGCTCGCCCATACCTGAGCCACCGCCGCAATGTAAGACCTCACCCACTCAAGCCCACTCAAATTATTAGTCATCTATACTGACCACACAAACTTTATTTCTTTTTGAATGTCTCGCTCGCGTAGATGAACCGCCGATACCTATCAACCCTTGTCAGCCATCGCCGTGTGGGCTCTATAGCAATTGTCGACCTGTCAATGGCCATGCAGTGTGCTCATGCTTACCGAACTATTTGGGCGCACCACCCAACTGTCGTCCGGAATGCATGAGCAGCTCTGACTGTGCGCAAGACAAGTCCTGCATCAATGAACGCTGTAAAGATCCCTGTCCGGGCACTTGCGGCAACAATGCCCTCTGTCGCGTCGTCAATCACAATCCAATTTGCTCATGTACACCTGGTTACACTGGTGATCCATTTGTGCGCTGCATCTATGAAGAGAGTAAGCATATTGCGCTTTGTCGCATCATCCGCGCGCTCAACGCGCTGTGAAGCCGTTAGCGGTGTTGCATGTCTGAGCTTTTTTTCTTCACAGCTTCACAACGCGTCGGGCGCGTGCTTGATCACCATCCATACCCATCTCATTTCATCTTTACTTATACAAATATTTCTTTTTTCTTTTGCTTTTATTTCTACGTTTTTGTGGACATTTTCTTCCGGTTGCATGTTGAATATTATAC